TGTGATGATTGTGGTAGGATATTTGTATTGAAAAGATCGTTAGACAACCATCTCAATCGCTGTAATCGCAAACAGAAGTCGTTGGGTGAGGTTTTAGGCAATAAATCAATTTCCTCCAAAAAACGCCATATTTGTGATATTTGCGGTGAAATACTCAGCAGTAGAGCTGCCGCTGAAAGACATACATTTTATGTTCATAAAATAGGAGGAGGACACCAATGTACCTATTGCAAACAAGTTTTCCTCACTCCCCAAGGGCTCATAAACCATGGTCCAAATTGTGAAAAATTATTGAATCGTACGTACGAATGTTACATATGCCATAAAGAGCCTAGATCAAGAAAAAGTCTTCGCTCTCACTTTCGATTAGTTCACGTGACATCAATCAAATGTGAATCATGCGATAGATATTTTTCATGCAAATCGGCATACGAAAGCCATAACAATCGAATCCACTTGAATATTCGTAATTTTGTGTGCAGCACATGTGGACGAGCGTTTACAACCAAGATAGATTTAGTGCGACATGAATACATTCACACGGGAGAACGACCTCTGAAATGCACTCACGTTGGGTGTGAGCTAACTTTTAGAACTTCCTCGGCCAAATATGCACATCTGAGAATGCATCGAGGACAAAAGCAGTTTCGGTGTAGAATCGATGGTTGCGGAGAGCAATTCGGTGGAGTGATTGGGTACAGAAAGCATAAACTCAACGTACATGGCATTCCAATCGCTAAATAATTATCGAGCTTGATACTAAGATCTAATTAGAAAAATAGAAATATAAATCTAAATTAAAACCTAATTTTGATACATTTATTTGTTAAATGAGCTATTTTTGAGGCAAATAAATATGATTACAACAATGGAAAGACATCGTATTTTGTATGGATTTTCAAATATCGCTTGGGAGTTGCTGTAGGTGGCTTGCACGACTGGTGGCAAAAACTGGAACTTATTCCATTCATCTATCATTGCGAACACTACTTCAAATCAAAGTTTGACATCTTGAATGTTAACAGGCACAATGAGTTTGACACTGGGAGAAGAAACACCGAATCGCTGAAAAAGTTGGGAATTTATTCGAAATCGTTATTTTTTGCAAATAAAAATGAGCAGAACGAAGACAGGTAAGGTCATGAATACAACAACGTCAATTTAAGATGCTAATAAATATGATATTTCTCAGTTCATCAGTGTGTATTCTGTCCACAAACATTCGGCAGTGCCGTCGAAAAAGATGACCACATTCTGGAGCATTTTGCTCAAGAAACGTGTGCAGATTGCGACCAAAGCCTGCTTCGAATCGGCAGCAATTTATACACACAACACAACGCAGTGACATGCATTAAGAGAGAATCGAAATCGAATGTGAGTATTTTGAATCAAAGCCATAGGGGATCTATCAATCAAAACAATGATGAAAAGGATTATAATGCAACTTTCGCGTCAACGAATACGGATTATGAACAGCAACTAAACATCAAACTCGAGCCCGAAACAGAACAGAATGAACAGCTTATGAGTGTTGATCCGATGAATTTTGCGGAAGTCAGTTATAATGAATACTACCAAGGATCCAACAACCAGAATAGTAATGAGAATACTTCTGCTACTGATGTTACACCATCAAATACAGTATCTGTTGGGGAAATCGAAATCAAAATGGAGCCAGAAGCACAAGTTCAACAATTTATATCTGTTTACATTAAAAATACCACAGAACGAAATGATGTGGACTTTGGCTCAAGTCAAGTGTTTCAAAGTCAATCTAGTTCAACTCCATTAGAGAAATCTGACGTAGACAGCAAAGGCAACTACAAACACGAGTGCAACATCTGCGGGAAAGTTTTTCAACTGAAAGATTCTTTACGAAGACATCATCGAATGAAACATGACGACCCAAATTGCCTGAAATTTAAATGCGACCATTGTCCTACGGTATTGCTGTCAAAAAAATCATTGGATAACCATCTCCCGAGGTGTGCACGAATGAAGGAAGAAAGGTTATCCAAACCACCAAAAAAGAAAACAGAAACACATGATCGAGCTCCATGCGACATTTGCGGCGAACTATTTTATACGTTTTGGTTGAATAGACATAAGAAACTGAAACATACTCCGAAAGAAAAGGAAAGCGAAGCGAGCTATTTCGATAATTATCAATGTGACATATGTCAAAGAGTTATCCCCACAAAAAAAGCTCTAAGAACACATATGAGAATGAAACACTATCCAAGCATCCTCAAATGTGATGATTGTGGTAGAAGGTTTGTGTTGAAGAAATCGTTAGACAGTCATCTCAATCGATGTAATCGCAAACAGAAGTCGTTGGGAGAGGTTTTAGGCAATAAATCAATTTCCTCCAAAAAACGCCATATTTGTGATATTTGCGGTGAAGTATTCAGTAGTAGAACTGCAGCTGGAAAACATACATTTAATGTTCATAAAACAGAAGAAGGACACCAATGTACCTATTGCAAACGAGTTTTCATTACTCCCCAAGGACTCATAAACCATGGTCTAAATTGTGAAAAATCATCGAATCGAACGTACGAGTGTTACGTGTGTCATAAAAAGTTTGAAACAAAAAAATGGATGTATACTCATCTTCAATCAATTCACGTGGATATAGGATATATGAAGATCAAATGTGAATTATGCGATAGATATTTTTCATGCAAATCGTCATACCAAAGCCATAACAATCGAATCCACTTGAATATTCGTAACTTTGTGTGCAGCACATGTGGACGAGCATTTATAGCCAAGAATGGTTTAGTGCAACATGAACGAACTCATACCGGAGAAAGGCCATTCCAATGCACTCACGATGGGTGTGATAAAACTTTCAGAACTTCTTCGGGCAAATTTGCACATATGAGAATGCATCGAGGACAAAAAAGATTTCAGTGTAGAATAGATGGATGCGAAGAGCAATTCGGTGGAGTGAATGGGTATAGAAAGCATAAACTCAACGTACATGGCATTCCAATCGCTAAATAGTTATCTAGGTTACTACTAAGATCTAATTGCAAAAATTGAAATCTAAATTAAAACCTAATTTCGTTACATTTATTTGTTAAATGAGCTATTTTTGAGGCAAATAAATATGATTACAACAATGGAAAGACATCGTATTTTGTATGGATTTTCAAATAAAGCTTGGGACGTTGCTGTAGGTGGCTTGCACGACTGGTGGCAAAAACTGGAACTTATTCCATTATCTATCATTGAAAACATTACTTCAAAACAAAGTTTGACGTCTTGAACGTGAACAAGCACAATGAGTTTGACACTGGGAGAATGAACATCGATTCGCTGAAAAAGTAGCGAATTTATTTTGTAATCATTGATTTTCTCAAATCAAAATGGGCGGAACAATAGCAGGTAAGGTCGTAAAAACAGCATCTTGAATGTAACGTGCTAAAATGTGTCACATTTTTCAGTCCATCAGTGTTTGTTCTGTCCACAAACATTCGGCAGTGCCGTAAAAAAGGATGACCACATTCTGGAGCATTTTGCTCAAGAAACGTGTACAGATTGCGACCAAAGCCTTCTTCGAATCGGTAGCAATTTATACACACTACACAACGCAGTGACATGCATTAAGAGGGA